CGATATATATACGAAAAAAAAAGAAAAAAATAAGAGTAACGAAAAAAAAGAGAGAAAAGAAAAAAAAAGATTTTTAAATTTTTTTATATTATTATTCATAAGTTTCAGCTAGGTCAACAGCAGCGTGGGTGACGTCATTCTAGCAGCTGTAAGGTAAGACACGCGAACTTATGTAGAGAGAAATTGTTGCTTTATTTAAAAATTTAGTTAAAAGATTGGGTTGTGTATATTCCTTTTTCTCTCTTAATTGTTTTGTTTTTTTTTATTATGATATTTTTTAGTTAAGTTTAAGATTACTAAGATTATTATGGTCATGACTTTTGTTGAATAAAAAAAAAATAAAAGGAAAAAAAAATTTTTTTTTTGATGGAAAACTCAAATAATATGCAGGAGTAGGGTTTAGTTATTTGGCGGTTGTGGAAGTGCTAGGGAAAAATAGAATGCATATAAGTTGAAGAGTGACCGAGTGAATGTAGTGTGAAAGATGTTACAGACAAAACAGACGAGGACGTTTCAAGCTGCTGCAATATAGCGAATTCAATCAGGCAATGGCTATATTGTGATTGTGTTAGATGTAGGTTCCGCACAAAAATGGTTTTCTTCCACAGCAAACAGGTGACATGAATTTTTGTTGATATCCGCGATTGTTGCTGAGCGTGAGAAGAACCACACCCAAAACCGGCGAGCATACCGGGCTGGCCACCATGTCACCGCTCCACGTTCACTGCAGTGTTACTTCGCCCACCGAAGACCGGACACAACACAATTTAAATTTAATATTATTAATTGAATCAATTGTTAATAATTGTAATATTATAATTTGTAATATAATATTATAATAAATAATATAAAAATAAATAATTAACTAATAATTAGTAAATTACATATAAACAGAATGCCACGCGAAGGGTCGCCCAAAACAAGTGCAAATCACAAATCAGATACTCCAGTAAGTAAAGGTCACCACCAGGATAAACGTATGCGCTCTAAGCCAAATGACTGAAAAGTTTGATAAAAAATTCGAAAATCTACGTCAAAACATTGATATGCAATTGGCTTTATTGGCTTCAAAAGATGATATACATGAGCTAAATAATCAATTGAGCAGTTTAGTACAAAAAGTGGATACTTTGCAGACTGAAAATCAAACACTCAAACTAGAAATTGAGCTGTTAAAAAAAGAAAGAGCGGCGGATCACAATGAACTCAACAAATTGGTTAAAAAAAGTAAATACCGGAACGTCATATTTAATGGTTTACAAAGAGATTGCTCCACAAAAAGACAGGTAGAAGCGTTTATTCGGGGAAAAATGGAGGTTCAGGATATATCAATCCGTGAAACTCGTATATTATATGAAAAAGAAAACAAAGTTCGGCTAGTTGCGGAAATACAAACTGCAGATATGGCCATAAATACACTTAGACATGATAATAAACTAGCAGGAACCAGGATTTTTGCTGAGAAAGATCTCAGCACAGTAAAACTAGAACAGAAATTGGTACTACTGAAATTAAAAAATCATCTTAAATGCATCAATAACACTCCCAAAGTTTTCGTGAGAAATGACAGTATTAATATAGCTGGAAAATAGATGCACTATAATGCAAACAAGACCCTTATTTTTAAAGGACAACCAGCAAACGGTGAATTAAAAGACATATACGGTAATGCCCTCGTAGAAACTAGCATGACCTATGCAGTTTTACTCAACCATATTAAGATTTCAAAAAACCATTAGCCAAAAATAAAATAGCTCGCACAAATCAAAATGAACAAGCAACCACTGACCACACCCAAGTAATCGACTTAGAGTTAAAACTACTGTCATATAATATTGCAGGCATTACAAATAAGTTAATATATAAGCATTCCTTTAAATATGTCAATTCCTTTTTGACATTCCAACTTTTGTCTTTTTTTGATAAGAAATGATGTGTTAATTAGGTTTTTTTTAAATATAAAAAATTTTTTGTTAAACAAATTAAATTTTAAATTTGCAAAAAATAACAAAACCAAAACAAAATTGAGTTTTGCTCAAAACAGCTGATAGAGACAGCATATGATCGAAAGTAAAAATTTATAATTGTGGTGTTGCCACAGTGTAATTTTCAAGTATTAAATATAAATATTTAAATAAATTTTATTTACTTTTCTCTTATTAAAATTAAATAAACTTATATAAAAATATATAAATTTACTTATTTATAAGTTTAAATTTTTAAAAAAAATTAAAATATAATTAAATAAACTATCGGTATAAGTATTCTAAATCCGTTGTAAGAGCGATTGCGGAAGAGTTGTACCTCGGCAATCTTTAATAAGTGAGAATGGCGTAAATGGCTATATAACACTAAACACAGATGACACTAATATAATAAATCATTCCCCAAACATACTTTTAGAAAATTCAAAAATTGAAACAAGTATAACAAAAATAGCTAGCAAAATTGCCATCGCTAATAAAATTAAATTAATAAATAATAAAAACGAAAAGTTAAAACATAGTTCCCCAAACCAACACGCAACAATACAAATCAATACACGCAAAGAAACTAACATGAACACGTTACAGGCACCAAGCAATACGACTTCGGGTCAACTAGAAGATAAAACAGCTAAATCAGTTCATGTGAAAAATATACAACAACAAATTCCACAACTTCAACAACAGCTTTAGAAATTGTATAATGATGAAAAAAATAACCTCCTCCAAGACAAACGTTCGAATCAAGCTTTAGCCACCAGAAACGCTGCCTCTATAAACGACACTTGGGCAGTAGTTAATAATCGTAAATGTCAATGCGATAGTCCAAGTAAAAATCATCAAGCAAGTCAAACACAAACCAAGCTGGACTCATACTGGCTAAATGAACCCGTCAAACCAAAAATAATAATGATACGGTTCCAAAAATACTCAAACCTCCACCTATATTTATTGATAAGGTACATTGCATCAAGCCTCTAATAGATGCATTAAACGAACATGCGGCTAATCAATACAACTTAAAGGTCCTAAATCCAAGTCAAGTAAGAGTTCAACATTCCACATCTGACTCTTACGTAAGCATTGTAAAACAGTTGGAACTCAAAAACACTGAATTTTTCACTTACAAACCAAAAACCGAGAGAAGCTTTAGGGTTATATTAAAAAAATTGCATCATTCAACCGATATTGATGAAATCAAAAATGCACTGTTGGAGCGAGAGCATACGGCTGTAAACGTTTGGAACATTAAGCGTAGAGGGTCAGGAGAACCTCTTCCCATGTTTATTATTGAACTTGCACCAAACCTAAACAATAAGAATATCTATTTGGTTAAGAAACTCTTATATACTACAGTTACATTCGAACCACCTCATCCAAAACGTGAAATTCCTCAATATTCAAACTGCCAGCAGTATGGGCACACGAAAGGATACTGTTACCGCAAACCCAAATGCATCAAGTGCGCTGGAAACTATGCATCTGTAAATTGCGAAAGGAAAAGCAGATCAAATGATGCCAAATGTGTTTTATGTGAGGGAAATCATCCGATCAACTACAAAGGATGTCAAATATACAAAAACCTGTAAAAAAAATGTATCCCCAATTAAGGCCTAGGGCGCCAGAAGTGCAAATTCAAGAAAATCCTCTTCCTTCTCTAATCAAAACTCATATCACGAATTCTCATTCATCTCAAACATTCGCACAAATAGTGAAGTCAGACACCAGTAGCGCAACAGAAGAGAAGCTATCACCAATTCCAAATAATTTTGTGGAAGAATTCCGTGAGATGACATTGTTATTGAAGCAAATTATGCAACAAATCGTAGTAATGACAAATTTACTGATCAACCTGACGACTAAACAAAATTCTTCATTTAGTAGTAGTCATATAGAACGCTAATGGTCTATCAAAACATGCTGTCGAAATAAAAGCATTCTTAAAAATAAACCAGGTCGACATAATGATGGTATCAGAAACCCATTTTACGACGCGTAGTTTCCTTAAAATTCCGAACTATGAACTTTTTCACGCAATGCATCCCAGTGGTAAAGGAAATAGAGGCTAAGGAAATCGATAAAACAAAATCGATATTGCAAAATCATATTGCTCGAATGAAATTCAGGCAATAAACATAGTAGTACAAACCGCACCACAGTATCTCGAAGGATATGTACATATCATTTTTTCAGCAGCTTGGATCTAGGTTCCTAATAGGCGGAGATTTTAATGCTAAGCACTTTAAATGGGGTTCCCGCCTAATATCTCCAAATGGACGACAACTTTTCGAAGCAATAAATGTACTCATTCTATATACAATCTCGACAGGTGAACCCACATACTGGCCAACGGATAGAAGAAAAATACCTGACTTAATTGATGTTGCGGTATCAAAGAGGGTACGTATCGAGACAACTAATAATCACTCTCAATGACTGCTGTGAAATTATAGAAAAATATATTCTTCATAACAAAAATACTGACTGGAACAGTTATCGTCAACTAATTACAATTGCTCTAAATACCGAAGTTAGGTTGAAAACTGAATCTGATGTAATTGAAGAAGTAGAGCATTTCAACTCTTGTGTCCAAATGTCTGCATGGGAATCAACTCCACCGTTTCCTTAAAGTGTTAAACAAGATTATCCATTTAACATTAGATACCTGATTAAAGAAAAGCGTAGAATGAGAAAACATTGGCAAAAGACGAGATTCCCTGCGGATAAAACCCGCTTAAAGAAATTATGTAAACTCGTTGTTGCAAAAATGAGATTATAAATACACTTTCGACAATTTTAAATAGCAATCTTTATTTTGAGCTTAAAAAATCTGTAACATGATTAATGATTACAGTAAAAATTTATGATTGAAAAATTAAACTAAAAATTTACTCACCTTTGTCTAGCAATCACAACAAGAAAAGAGAAAAAATGATAAACGGAAATTCACTAAATAATTTCGAAGTCTCCAAGTCAGCTGTTTATCGTGATTGCCAGACAAAGGTTTTTAAATTATTAGCAATTTTCGGCAACATTCTCCTCCCTGCAGGCGACCCCAATGTCGTTTGCGTCAACTTTGCCGATATCCAGAATGGCCAGCTTTACGGCAGGGCGCTCCAAAAAGCCTTTTGTTGTTTTGACCTTAGCTCGTCTTACTTGGCCGTCTTTCGCTACAGTTTTCTCGATAACTATGCCTTTTACCCAAGTATTTCTCTTAGCCGTTTCATCAACTATCAGCACAACGTCTCCTACCGTAATGGGTTTCACTTTATTGAACCATTTGCCGCGACGCGTTAATGTCGGAAGTATCTCACGCACCCATCGTCGCCAAAATTGATTTGCAAACATCTCAGATTGTAGCAGGCACATCTTTGGATCGATTCTCTTAGCATCACAAAATGGTTTCAAACCATTAGCGCTCCCCAACAAGAAATGGTTTGGAGTTATTGGATCCTCATCTTCACTATCGAGTGACACGTAGGTTAAAGGACGCGAGTTGATGATCATTTCAACTTCAAGTAATGCAGTACGTAAACTTTCATCCGTAAAACGTTGAGATGGAGAAATTTGATACAGCACTGTCTTAATTGTTCTAATCAGTCGCTCCCACGCTCCTCCCATATGTGGTGCTGCCGGTGGATTAAATTTCCAGTCTATTCCTTGATGAGCTAGCTTGTGTTGCATAACCGAGGAATCAATGTTCTTTAACTCCTTTCTTAAAACGTTCTCGACACCATGAAAATTCGTTGCATTATCGCTGTAGATGGTGATAGGTTCTCCTCGTTTGGCAATAAAATTTCTTAAACACATTAGGCATGAGTCAGTACTAAGACTAGGGGTGATTTCGATGTGAACGGCTCTGATAGTCAAACAAGTTATTATAACACCCCACCTTTTCAGTGCTTTGCGATTCTCAATAACCACCATTGGTCCAAAATAATTAATACCCACATGAGTAAATGGACGTTGAAAAGCTGCTAGTCGTGCTGGGGGAAGTAAGGCCATTTGCGGCGCTTGAGGTATTGCCGATGAAATTTTACATACGTTGCAGTTTCGTCGCATCGATTTGAATAATGGTCTTAATTTTGGTATGAAATACAATTGTCTGACCTCATTTAAAGCAGTTTCATGTTGGATGTGATAAAATCGTTCATGATAGTGCGCACATATAAGGTACGATACTCTATGTTTTGGCGGTAAGAAAATAAAATCAGTTTGAGGTTTACACTCATACGTAAAGTTACTCGCTCTGTTTTTTACTCTTATGAGCTCATTGTTATCCATATACACCTGCAACCTATATAACGGACTGTTCCTTTCTACTATTCTCCCCATTTTCAGTGTCGACCAATCTTCAAGTAGTTCCTGTTGCACGCTTTTGTATATTAAGAGCTTCGCGCGCTCAATATGTTGAACAGTCAAAATAGCATTGAAACCGCCACAACGAGCCTTTAGTTTCCCAATGTAGAGTAGCCAATTTGCAACTACACGATACAACTTGATCCAGGATGAAAAATATTCATAATTGAAACATGGTTGTGTCTCGCGATGATATAAAAATTTTGCACGAGTTTCACTGGTCTCCATCGGACCTAAGTCCACCTCAGTTGGCCATTTATCCTCGTCTTGTAGCAAAAATTCTGGTCCTTCGACCCACCGCTGCACATATTCGGGACTTTGTTTTGTTTTCGTTGCACTGTCTGCAGTATTTAATTTCGTGGGTACCCATCTCCACTCTTCCACGGTTGATGCTTCTTGAATTTCTGCAATGTGAAACATTACGAATTGTTGAAATTGACGTGGATCACCACGCAACCACTTTAGCACCGTTTTGGAATCGCTCCAAATGAAACGCTTTTTAATATCAAATGTGTGTACTTTACATATTGTATTCATAAGCCGTGTACCAATTACAGCAGCTTGTAGCTCCATTCTTGGAATAGACATCGGTCGCATTGGAGCGACTTTGGTTTTTGCTGCTACGATCCTCGTACTTACTCCATATTTATCTTTAATGCGGAAGTATGATACAGCTGCATAAGCAAACTCACTCGCATCTACGAATGTATGAATTTGTACATCACATGAACTTTCTGTTATGTATGGTGAATAACAACGGGGTACAGAAATATTAGCAAAAATAGGCATGTAGGCAACCCAAGCTAACCACTTGCCCATAAGATCGGGTACCAGTGGTTGATCCCAGTCGATTCCGCTTCTCCAAATATCCTGAATAAGTATTTTTAAATATGATGTGAGGCAAGCTGCCAGTCCCAATGGATCAAAAATGGACATTAAAATTTGAAGT